AGCTAGATGACCAAGGCTTCATTCAAAAGGATCTGAGCTATGTAATTCAGGAAAATGTTGTGATACTAGTGTGAGTAGGGGTCGGCACCATACCGTATATGGGTACGGCTGTACAGAGGATGGGCAAGTATGGGGCTCACTGTAATGTATCCGTCCCATAATAGGAGATTTCAGAGAGTCATACGGTACATGTACAGTAAGACTTACAAGTCCAACACGTCAAAGATTTACTTTGCACTCTCTTTCCTGCGGGGAGCCGCACTTGAATACTTTGAACCGGCGGTTATGGCTGATTATCCCAACAAGGATGATCAACCAGTATACTTGTTGTATTGGGTTGAGTTTGTTGAAGAACTCAAAGCCAACTTCGGAACCGCTAGCCCAGAGGAAGACGCGGAAACCGCCCTTGAAGAACTTAAGATGGAGAAACACCATCAAGCCACCTGGTTCTTCACTTCCTTTGCCAAATATAAGGCAAAGACTGCATACAATGAAAGCGGTTATTACCATTTAGTCATGAATGCCATGCCTGACCGGATTCTCGAAGAACTCCATAGGGTTTTCCCCATGCTAAAGTCTTATGAGACTTTGCATTCTATGATTTTACAGATTGACCAGCATTATTGGACCCATAAGAAGATTATGGATCTGCACTGGAAGGGAGCTCCAAAGCCACCCACGGCTTCAAACATGGCTCCGTCCAGAAACAACAACAATAACAACAACAATCAGTCTGGCAATAACAAGTCAAAGGACAACAAGTCGAACTCTAACAAGGGTAAGACTAACACTTCTACGTCTGCTGGAGCAAGCTCTAGCAAGACTTATGACAACAGCCACCTTGGCGCGGACAGACAGCTCACAGAAGCTGAAAAGAAACATCGAAAGGATAATGGGTTATGCCTGGTTTGTGGTATTAAGGGCCATGTGGCTCAAGGAGGTCTAGCTGGCTGCTGTATGGTCGGCCTTCCACCCTTCTCCAGAGCCATGGAACCTGCTAGCTAGCAAAGCTTGTTACACGCTTCGCTATTTTTAGCTCTTCAGTTAACTACAGTATGTTTATTGCTTTCTTGGTAGATTCTAATTGCTAACTTCGTTGTGCTCGTACTAGTGTTTACCGCACGGTCTTGATCTGTGTAGAGACGCATCAGACTGGTCCGGCTAATGGTCCGGCTAATGGGTCTGATGCGTCTCCACACAGATGTGTAGAGACGCATCAGACCAATAGCCGGACCCGGAGCTGCTTTTACATTGTTTTTTTGGACTTTTTTTTTGATTTTTTTTATCAGACCCTTTGGTCCCGCACCATGACCAAATATCCAGCTATTATTCCTTCTGATTAATTTTAAGATAACTTATCATATTCATATCGAGTACGGGTACCCCACCCATGACGCCTATTAGGTACATGGGAACCCAGCAATCGGCTCTGGCCTATTAGGCCTTCTGATCGGTGGACCTCCTCAGGAAGACCTCCCATATACATCATCTGAATGATCGTTAGCCAAAATTAGCTTGAACGATCCGCATCAGACACCTCAGGAGCTCCTCTCACCGCCAACTGAGCTCCTCCGAGGCACCTTCCCCTCGGCGTAGTCCTCTGAAGCTCCTTTCAGCCGCTCACGCTATGTGGACCTCCACAGGAGCTCCCCAGCCACCCT